GACACTTTTCGCGGACTTCTGTGGTGTACGTGCGTGTGAGGATTAATTTCATGGATACTCGTGGACAGGACAATTGTGATACGTGACAACTAGAGGGGGCATTAACCCTATCTACGCGATAATATTCGTAAGAAGATATTTACATTTCTTGCGAATTTTATGGAGTAATCAGAGTTAATGCGATACAGGTGGATTCGACTCAAATACTACGGGCACAAGTTATCGACATCTTCTACGGGGTCAGTAAACAGCTGTTCTACCGACTTTTCCTGCACGTCGTTGAGTCTTTAAAGTGACTGTACGCCCCTGATGAGCCGTGATCCGCTGACACTCCGTGCGCGCGGATTGCCATGATTTGGGTCAATTTTTAAACGCTTATAACTAACAAACGAAGCATTTTTCGCAATTTTGTTATTCTTGATTTTCGTCTTATTTTGCCTCAAAGAATCACCCCTTAAATTTTTTCCCACTAGTTGTCGAACATCCTGGATATATCAATAAATAACAATAAATAGATAATTTAGTTACCTTATGAACTAATTAACTTTAATAGGACGACACACAAAATTTTTGGTTATATACAATTCATTGTTATATACACTGTCAAATGGCATGCTTTAGGACATATTCATATTTCATATACATACAACTCAGTCAGCTAAAAACATAGTAAATACGGCAAACAACAGCTTTTCTAAGCACACCGTCCCCAAAGTAAAGGCAGGAGCTATGCCGGGGAGGGTGGTGTTAATATGGCCTCAGCCACATAGAGGTCATCGGGGTTGAGGTTTTAGTGGGTAGGACGGCTATGCCGGTGAGTCACACATACCCTGGGTACATTAGTCCCAGGGATGCGTAATTGCATTTCCCCACCCACCTAAAAAAAGGTAGTCGCTAACGGGCAGCCCACACGGACAGGACTAAAGGTATGCTTGTGTGTCAGAACGGGGGAAGTAAAGTGGGAGACGCCGGTAGACATAGTGGGGGAACCAAGTTTCACTATTCTGGCATCAGTGATGCCAGAATCGTGGGATTTTCGCGCGAGCGCATACCCTCTCCATGCCTCTCGTGGGTATTCTACACAAGCATATTCTAGCCTGCCGTGTGATCTCTGCCCCCACTACGTCCTACTCGGCGACTCACCAACACAAGCATTTTCTAGCTCTGTCCGTGTGCGCTCTGCTTCGGGTGTTCTCGGCAAAAGTCTACGTACGTCACGCGTTTACGACGCGACGGCCGAGTGGTCCAAGCCAGGTCAAAAATCCCAAATCCCAAGCAACCTAAAGTTTACGTTCTAAACGCGGAGAGCTGCATGATTTTTCTCACGCGCTCATGATGAAGGCCCCGTCCGAATCCCGATGCGACGGTTTTACTTTTTATTTTTAATTATTGCAAAACTTCGAAGATATTGATTTAATAAGCATTTTAAAAAAATGGGAGATATATTTATTCCTCTTCAGTATTTAAATTTTGTATTACACAAATACATATTCTCTTATACATATATACACAAATTATCCGTACAATTAGATGTTACCTTCATTCTAATTATTAGAGTACATACATATGAAAACATTGGAAGAAAAATACATCACATTAATATGTTACGTACAGTAAAATGAAAGCTTGGAAGATATTAATTTGAGAAGCATTTTCAAAATTAGATTTTTTTGTTAAGCTGGTCCACGCATATGCATTTTGTTGATTTGATGTCGGTGAGCATGGATAATATGCATGTACATACAACACATCGTCTTTTCTTTTTGTCCTGTAAATAATGTCACAAGTGTTCCGTCCTCAATATGGACTTTCTTTATTCGCGGTATATTAATTTCTTTGGGCGGCTAAAATGCTTCTTTCAAAATCTGGGAAATTCCTAACAACCCCTTTCGAAATAATCGGACAATTATGTATTCGGCGCGCGTATAACTCCACCCAAATAACTATTTTAACGTTGGAGTGGGAGAGTGGTGTGGGTAAATGTTGTTAAGTTATGTTTATTCCAGAAGGAAAAATCAAGCATTATCAGTCCGAACATTAGTAAAATAGAATATATATTTGAATAGTAATAAACACTACACATACAGAGAACATTGCACTGACTACAGTTCTAATAATACAAAGAACAACTGGACGCTTCTCATGGCGTAGTACACACTTGAACAAAAGAAAAACTACATGACTACTACAACGGTCCCGCGTAATTTCAACGGTTGAACATAAAACAAATCCTTACTATACACGCTTCTCAACAGAACAAAATAAAATACATAGTCATAAAAACATACATAAATAAAATAATTACTCCTCAACAGTAAACAGTACCACGATTCTGGCATCACTGCTGCCTTGGAAATCCTGTTCGAATACCACTGCGGCGAAAATTTACGTTTTCGACGCGATGCCCGGCAACCTGAGCGTGTGAGCAACAGTCAGGAGACCCCAATCGAATCCTAATGCGGCAGTTTTAATTTTCATGTTTAATTATTTTGTAATTTCAATTGGAACTCTCAGTAAAATAAAAACTTAAACAATATTGATTTGTGAGGCATTTAAACAGAAAAAAATAAATGTTTTCCATTTTAATATTTAAATTTTTTATTATATACATACATGTTATGTTGTATATACATAAATTATTTTTACAATTAGATGGTATCCTTGCAACCCTACTCATTACTACTTCGAACATTCGTACAAAAATCTATTAGATTAAAATATTACGTCATAAATGTATCTTCAGTCTTTTAAAATTTGTTGGCTTTACTTGCCACCTCTCAGTTAAGTTTGAATGAAAAGTTGAAAAATATTAATTCGCGAAGCATTTTTAAGATTCATTTTTTTTGTTAATACTATGTTTCGTCGCAAACGAAAACCGCTGCAGCTGGTCCACGAATATACAATGCCGAATGGTCTTTTGCTTTTCTGTATATGAAAAGAAAAAACACATAATTGAAATAGTAATTTTAATAAGATACGGTAAAATATTGAGGTTGCTATGAACTTATCTTCTTTTTGTTGAATTATTCTGTAATTTCGCTTCCTCACTTTTGAGTAGAAGTTTCGCAGCAAACGAAAGTAACGAAGTACGATAGTCTTTTAAAACTATTTAAAATGTGCCTCATTGTAATATTTTGGAAATTCCTTTATTGCCGGAAATTTTCTTTATTGACAGAAATTTCGACGGCTCATGGTAATGAATTTCTAAAAGCTATTTCAACGGTAAAGGACTTTTAATTTGGTCCATCGTAGACGTCGTCGAATACCTTATTGTTTCATTATGTCAGGGGATTCGAAAGAAGTGCTTAGTCGCTCGAAAAAACAATATACTGCTAATAGCGATCCGCTATAGACTTCACAAAGGACCTGTTAAAGGTAACCGTGCGCCCAGTTCCAGGTAAGCGAGCCGCTCGCGCGACGTTTACGATCGGCCGAATCGTACCAATTGCACCCTTTATTACTTGAAATGAGGTCTAAAAAGATTATCGATAGGTCTCGTACCCGTCTCAGTGGTGTCATTTAAAGTAATATGGATTGCAACTGGTACGATCGGCCAACCGTAATCACCGCGCCTACCTCATAACGTATTATAACGTATAAATAACGTATTCGACGACGTCTACGATGGACCTAATTAAAAGTCCCTTACCGTTGAAATAGCTTTTAGAAATTCATTACCGTTAGCCGTCGAAATTTCTGTCAATAAAGACAATTTTCGGCAATAAAGGAATTTCCAAAATATTACAATGAGGCACATTTTAAATAGTTTTAAAAGACTATCGTACTTCGTTACTTTCGTTTGCTGCGAAACTTCTACTCAAAAGTGAGGAAGCGAAATTACAGAATAATTCAACAAAAAAAAAATAAGTTCATAGCAATCTTAATATTTTATCTTATGTTATTAAAATTACTATTTCAATTGTGTTTTTTTCTTTTCATATGGAGAAAAGCAAAAGACCATTCGGCATATACGTGGACCAGCTGCAGCGGTTTTTAGCGGGTAACATCTAATTGTAAAAATAATTTATGTGTATACAACATAATATGTATGTATATAATAAAAAATTTAGACATTGAAGTGGAAAACATTTATTTTCTTCTTTTTAAATGCTTCCTGAATCAATATTTTTTAACTTTTTTATTTTACTTAGAGGTTACAAAGTGAAATTATAAAATAATTAAAAATAAAAAGTAAAACCGCCGCATTGGGATTCGAACAGGATTTCTTGACTGTTCACGCGCTTAGGTTGCGGGGCATCGCGTCGAGAACGTGAATTTTCGCCGCAGTCGTATTCGAACAGGATTTCCAAGGCAAGCAGTGATGCCAGAATCGTGGGTCGCTTTCCCCCACTCTTTTCTAAATATAGCTCACCGTCTCTCGAACGGCTGCGCACATGGACAGGGCTGGGATATACCTGTGTGTGTGTGCCAGCACGGTGACGTAAAGTGGGGGTAGCCAGGACGTCAGCACACGAAATGATTTCTGCGCACGCGCTCTGGTTGTTGGGAGTCGCGTTGGTAACGTAGATCTTACGGAACACCCGAACGGGCCAGCTCACACGGATAGAAGCAAAGTATGCTTGTGTAGCAGAAACTGTGGAATAAAGTGGGGGTAGCCAGGACGTCGTGGTGGTGGAACCAAGTTCCACGATTCTGGCATCACTGTGGATAGCCCCGCGCAGCCCCGCGTCAGGCTTCACTGAGCATCACTGATCATTGCTGATCACTGCTATGTACATACATTATTTATAATGTTCTTTAATGGGAAATGTGTAAAAACATCAAATATTTTTGGAAGTATTAAAGTATGCGTTTTATAATAATTCCGATTATAAAAATTCTTGAAGCCGTTACATGAAGGCTGTTACATGTATAAATGACTATTACTGTGTTGTACACGATTTTCAATTCTCGCAACAACGTAAAGTATATATATATATATTTCATACAAGGTTTTCTATCACTCTTTAAATTCAACCGAAATATTTTTTCAGAAATAAATATTACTTCCGCATCTAAGATTATTGCCGTCGAAATTTTTATTTAATAAAGGTGTAACAGTGAAATTTATCCTCTGTTAATATTTTAGGTTAAAATATCCCCAAATGGCAGACAAAGCTATTATGAAGGTATAATTGCACAAATTACACTCGTACTAAATTTTAATATTTGTAGGTGAAAAATGTTTTAATTGACAATTATTTCAAATATTTAGCAAATTGCTGAACAAAAACTAAAAGCATTTTCTATTGGCACAATGGGTAAAAGACCATTAAGTAAAAAAGAATTAGAAGAACAACGTAAAAAGGAACAAGAACAAGCAGCAGCTCAAGTATGTCATATGTGTATTATTATACGATTATAACTTATAAACATTAATATTATTTTTAATTTATATATATGTATGTGTAGGCATTTGAAGAGTTTGTAGCAACGTTCCAAGAAACACCTAGTAAGACAACAAGTAAAGTTTGGGTGAAAGCCGGTACCTATGATGCGGGTAAACGACGTAAGTTTATTATAGTGTTTTTACCCATTTGTGTTTAATAAGACGCACCATTGTTAAGTACACAAATCCATGAAAATATTTATTCACTATTTTCAAAGAGATTAATCATTATTTCTAAAGAAACATAAAGTTTTAATTGTATTTGTGTAACTGTGTTCTTATGTTTCTTCAATAGAGGAAGACACAAGAGAAAAAGGAAAACTATATAAACCTCAGTCAAAAATATCAGAGCTTGTTGACAGCCGATCATCAGCTGAACAGGCACAAGAATATGCAAGATTGCTAGGATCAAATGAACGTAAATTGGATAGATTGGGAAAAAAGAAAAAAGAAGGTGAAAAGAAAAAGAGTAACCTTGAATTATTTAAAGAAGAATTAAAAATGATCCAGGAAGAGCGAGAAGAAAGACATAAATATAAAGGTGTAGTGAAAACTGTCATTTCCACTCAGTCAGAAGACCCAATGATGGCAGCTTTAAAATGTGTTGAAGGTAATTTGATCTGAGATTAAGACAAGTTCATAAACATACATTTTTATATATACAATTGATGGAAGGAATATACTGATGAGTGATGAAAAGTTTAGACCTAAAAGGGATTAGGTATTATTCAGTATTGCAATTTGAAAGTGATAAGGAACATGATAGTCTTCTCGGTATAGCCTGTCAAATATGTTTTACAATATATAAGATTATGCAGGTTTCTTTGGGCATATTGTACCTTAATTTGTCACAGCGTTTAAGAAGTATACAGGCTGTTTCTAAGATCTTTATTATCAACTTTTTCGTATATTATCATTTTTACTCATTTTGTCTTCACTATGTGTCTTCCAGCAAGTATAACTTTATTTATGATAAAAACATAAATGTATCATAATATAATACTGAAACAATCTTCTGTAGTCATTGTAGACAGATAAACACAATGTAAACTGTTTACCTTTCTTCTCAAAATTAACAATTTGAATCTGTTAAAACTTTTGATAGGTATATCTTCATGTCCTGATCCTCGAAAAGTGAACTTACATAACCTTATTGATGATCCAAGACTCCTAGCCCTGATTTATGAGAGTAAACAATACCCTTTTAATTCATTCCCATTGTTTCTCCTTATAATCTTAGAGGTATAGAACAAATATAAAATAGTTGTTTTTTACAGATGGATCATTTGACAATGGCGATCCCAATACAACCAATTTGTATCTGGGAAATTTAAATCCAAAGGTATGATTAATTTATCATATAGCACTGTATATGTGTCCTACCTAATATTATCATTGTGAATATCTTTTTTAAATTCTAATTATTTTTTCATGTAGGTCATAGTCTTTCTTAAGATTTATACTCTTGTTTATTCTGTTATTTTGATATGATTGAATAAATGCTTATAAATGTACCAATATATCTAATAATTTGTAGAGCATTTATTACAGATACTTAGATTTATTTTGAGGTTTCTTACAGTTTTTAATAAAAAAAGACAAAAAAATTACCTATTATGACCAGTTAAAAATTTTGTTGACAAAGTAGAACATGGCATAATTTGACCATGACATAGACATAGTTTGAAGTATAAATAAAGTATTCAAAGTTGTGATACTAGGTGCAAATTAAGAATATTAGCAGGAATAATTTATTTTACTTGCATGTATAATAGATTACAGAGCAACAGCTAATGGAAATATTTGGCAAATATGGACCATTGGCTAGTATTAAAATTATGTGGCCACGTAGTGATGAAGAGAAAGCTAGACAAAGAAATTGTGGATTTGTTGCTTTTATGAGCCGCAAAGATGGAGAACGAGCTTTAAAAAATCTTAATGGTAAGTTAATAGTTTGGAATTTACAGAAAATCCTTGTTCGTATTAAAGACAAAGTTTACAAATAACTAAAAATATTACTTATGTGTACAGACACAGTTATTTTCATTAAAATATAAAATTTTGCTTTGTTATTAGAAGGCAGAAAATAAATAATTTATTTTTGTAAAATATTTTATTTTTATTGCGAGGTAGGTCGTGATATCATGCAATATGAGATGAAATTAGGTTGGGGAAAAAGTGTACCAATTCCACCTTACCCTATTTATATTCCACCTGCTTTAATGGAGATCACTCAACCACCACCTCCATCTGGTCTTCCATTTAATGCTCAACCACATCGTCGTGACAGACATAAGGTATATGATGTTAATTATATGAATCTAATTAATGAAATATTTATTTACATGACAAAAACTTACCACTAAAATGCAAACTTGCCTACAAAATACAAAAAAAATAAGTTTTTCTAATTGTGGTATCAGGTACCTCGAATTCGTAATCTTCAGAGTGCTGATCCTCAAGAGAAGGAAAACTTCGAAAAGGTAAAATTATTTTCGTTTAATATAATAATATTTTTATTTCAGTGTAAAAAGCTTTATGACAATCAATTTTTAGATAGACATTTCGTCTTAAAATTAATGCTTTTAATGTTTTTAATAAATGTATTTAAAGAACATTGCATTACTACAGTATTTCATATTAAACAAAAATTGTGTAATAAAGAAGAATTTAAACAATTCGTAACTTTATCAATGAATCATATTTTCCCTTAGCAAAATGCAATGTTTAAACTAACGCATGCTATCAAATTTCTTTCACAAGTAAATAACTTGCGTATTACAAAAATAAATACTAGTTTTATTAGTATTTATGGGTCGACATATGTAATTACTATTAAATAAAACATAAGAAGAAAAATGAAACATTCAATATATATAATTTTCTTTCATTAAAACTTATATATTGACTGTAACTGATGTTTGTAAACAATGCAATTTATATTAAATCAATGGTAATCATACATGGGATGGATTAATTTGGATTGGAACATTCACTCGGCTGTAACTGTTGTGCTATAATGGGAATATAATGGGAATTGTCACAGGTTTTGCAGAATGCAGTTGTCAAAGTGGTTATTCCAACAGAAAGGTATATCTTGATTTCAATAATTTGAAATTTAAACTTCAGAATATAGATATTCATCTGTGAAGATATTACATACCTATCAAGTTTATAATCAATTTTTAACGAAATTCTGTACTGTAGGAATCTAGTTATGTTAATACATAGAATGGTAGAATTTGTAATTCGTGAAGGTCCAATGTTTGAAGCGATGATTATGAATCGAGAATTAAATAACCCAATGTTTAGGTACGTACAATTTTAATTACATATCATTCAATAATATTTAAAAGAATTTTAAACTACAAAACTTGAATTTTTAGGTTTTTATTTGAAAATTATTCTCCTGCGCATACTTATTACCGATGGAAGTTGTATTCTATACTACAAGGAGATGGACAAAAAGAATGGCATACTGAAGATTTTAGAATGTTTAAAGGGGGAAGTGTGTGGAGACCACCACCAATCAATCCATGGACACAAGGAATGCCTGATGAATTAATTGAGATGGAAGAAAGACAAGAACCTAGAAGAGGTAGTTTGTCAAATAGGTAATGATAAAAATGATATAAAAAGGAATTAGTTATATTATATTATGTCATCATTTCCGTTTAATAATACAATATGTGACTGATAAAACACTTCATATTTATAGTCAGCGTGATCGATTAGAAGATTTGTTACGAAACATATCACCCGAGAGAATAAAAGTTGCAGAAGCTATGGTATTTTGTATAGAACATGCTGAAGCAGCAGAGGAGATTTGTGATTGTATTTCAGAATCACTATCAATATTACAAACTCCTGTAAATAAAAAAATTGCGAGATTGTATCTTATATCAGATATATTACATAATTGTGGTGTTAAAGTAAATAATGCTACTATTTATCGAAAAGCGTAAGTTGTTTTAATTTAAAATACGAGGAACTCTTGCAGTATGATTTGATTAAATTCATAGATATTGAATTACTATTAATATGATTGTAGAACATCAGAAGTTTAATATTAAAAAACTTACTTATAATATAGGTTTGAAACCCGACTATTGGATATATTTAGCGAAGTTCATCAAGCCTATAAACAATTTGATAGTAGATTAAAAGCAGAAGGATTTAAAGTTCGTGTAATGAGAATGTTTAGAGCATGGGAAGATTGGGCAGTTTATTCACGAGATTTTCTTGTTAAATTACAAAATACTTTTCTTGGTCTTGTTTTGGTAAATTAAATCTTTTATGCCATGTTTTTTCTTATTGAAAACGATAAAAAAAAGAACAAGAATAACTGTATGTTTTTAGATGGACGAACCCGAACCGGAAAATGATGAAGATATTGATGGAGCACCTTTATCGGATGTGGACGGAGATGGCGCAGAAGATCTGGATGGAGTACCATTAGACGGTGCTGCTCTTCTTAAAGGTGCTATGAAACATGGTCTAACTCCACAAACGACATCTAATTACGATGACATTGATGGCGTTCCTAGTAAGAATGTTTATAAAAATATTCAATTTGATTATTCTTTTAATGAAATTTAATTTCTGTTGTGATCCATATAATAACAGCTATATTTTTGTAGTGCATTTCGATTTTACACATTTCTATTTTTAGTGGATGAAGATATTGATGGTGTTCCTATGGATGACGAAGACTCTTTAAACATTCGAAATAAAGAAGATGAAAAGAAACCATCAATTCCTGCAGGTTTTGTTCCATCTCGATGGGAAACTGTAGATCCTGATCAGGTTAAAAAAAATGACCTTTACTTAAAATTACTGTCACATACTTTCTTCCTGTATTAAAATGAACTATATTTAACATTAGGTTGAAGCGCAAGCTATGACAACTAGCAAGTGGGAAGAATTAGGTCAAAATGACGACTCGAATTCTCAAGACACTAGTATGGATTCCAGGTATGTCTAAGTTAATTATTTTGCAGAATCGAAATTATTAAATGAAATTAATTAGAACAATATGATTTTCCAGTGGTCGAGATTATAACGAAGAAAGACGAAATAGATTGCGCGAAATTGAAGTTAAAATAATGCAATACCAAGATGAATTAGAAAGTGGTAGGAGGACATTAAAATCTGGTATGACAATTCAAGGTCAAGTGGAACATTACAGAAAGAAACTTATAAGAAAGGTAAAGATTTTCTGCAGCACTGTTTTTAAATTAATTTTAAACATTTATCTCGTATAACAAAGAATATTTATTGTAGAGCGAAAGAGAAATGAAAGATGCAAAAAGTGAAGAACGGGATGATGACAGACGAAGAGAAAAAAAACGAAGTACAACTCCAGAATCTCCAAGTCATTACAGAGATCGACGACGGTCTTCAAGTCCATCGTCTAAAAGTAACAGATATAGGTAAATATTTATTATAATGATAAAGATAATAATATAGGTAACAATAAATAATAAACTATCGAGAAATTAACAATTCATGAGCACGATATGATTTTGAATAAATAAGTTTATGATAAAGTTCAACTCTAAACATTATATTGTTTTGCAATAAGATTTGTAAAGAGAAACATGTGTAAAAAATAATGCTTTAGCGTTTACATATTGTGGTTGTTTTAAATTTATGACATACTAACGTATATTTATTTTTAGATCTCGTAGTAGATCACCACGTGGTAAACGTAGATCAAGATCACCATATAAGAAGCGAGTGCCAGTAACACCATCGCCACCACGTATTCGTCGGACACCCTCGCCTTCCTTTTCGTCTAGAGTGTCTCGTAGGTCTCCTGGTAATGAACGGAACGATAGAAAAAGAAGAGCTAGATCACCATCATTATCACCGCCACCTCCTCCACGTGCTTCAAAACATAGAGCTAGTAGTCCACCGTCTCCATCCCCACGTAAACATAGACATAAGCATAAGTATTAAGTTATTTACGTTACATTTCTTATATTGTTATATAACGATAAAATCCATTAATTCTGTAGTATGTACAAATTCATACAATTACAGAATGATATTACTATTAATAAAATCTTAATTAATACGGTAATAATTATGCATTCAATACTGTAAGATATTTTTATCCAATTCCAAGTATTCTAATATTCTTTATTTCTCCAAATCCTTTAAACTGTTTTATTTTATACACATAAATATTTGTATTTGTGATATGATGAATGTATGAATAAGAGACATAATGGTACAAGAGAATTGTTGATAGATTTGTAGGAGAAAAATGACATTATACGCAACAACTCAACGTAGCAGTAAAGATTAATATATTATTAGATATAATATTTTTGGTACATAAGATCTTGATAACGGCGTTTTACAGAATAAAAATACTTTCGTTGGAATGCAGTGAAGTACGTAGAGTACATTAATACATTCAACGCATAAATCGAAGGTGGATTGATTATTACAATTTTTTATTTCTGACAATTGTGTTTTCCTATTCTGTATCCTTAATATCTATTTGCATAAAGAGTGATTAAAAAAAATATGTACAGACATGACTGAACGAAATGGTCTTTTAATTCCCACACGCGGTAATGAATTTTCATTTCTTGTGTGAATTTTTTATTTTTCATAGAAAGTTTAAATAAAATGGTGTAATTAATGTTAATCGCCCCTTTTTTAAAAGTAAGTTTTATTACAATAATTACTTTCTATTTTACATGTCAATATAATATTCTATTTCCTACATAAACTCATTTTATGCAATATAAATTGTATTCTTTTAAGTTGACTTATAAATTTTCAATACTAATTTTAAAATATTTAAAATACTTTTGTATAAATTTAAATTGATACTAGTCTTTTAATAAATAAATAAATATAAATACTGTAGCAGTGTTCGATCTGAACGTATTTATATATACATATTTCATAATAAAATACAAAATACCATATGTGATACTGAAGAAATTGTAACTGAAGATATTCACGTATATGTATTCCTATACATGATGTTGAGGATAACAAATGTTTCTTCATTAAATAAGTATGTATGGATATATTGATGTGAAAAGTTGTGACGTATATAAAAACATTACAATTGTTACTACCAGTAGTGATAGTAAATAGTATCAAGCAAAAGAAAGAAAAAATTAATTATTATGTTCCTAAAAAGGAATGAAAAACATTAAATTTTCATAACACTATAAAATATATTGCAATAAGGTAAATGTCGTGAAAATTATCTACACTTATCAAAATTATTTTCAAAATCATAACTAACCTGATATGTATCGTAATCATTGTCTCTCTCAATAAGAACACTTGGAGTTTGTGATATTCATTCATTTAGTGTCATTTTTGTTCTTCATAATATTTTTTATCTTGATGTTATCATTAGCTTTTGTTGAAATTGCAAACTCTGCTACTATACTTTTAGATGCTGTAATAATGTATAAAAGAAGGATTCCAATTAATCACAAATATATGCACATGTAAATATATTTGTGACAAAAGAAACGAACAAATTATTAGTACGGTAAAAAAATTGTTCAATTAGCTGGTTATGCAAATATATAACAGATCCTCCATGCTCGCCAAGTTTTATTATATTTGTGTATAATTCATATTAGTCATAATTCAAACACGTATACTGTTTAATTTTAACGAGATAATTTTTTAATTTTTTCTAAAACAAAAAATATACGATAGTACTAAGAAACTAGAACGCGAACGTAAACGTCATACAATGTTAAAATCAGTTTTTGAACTTTATACATATACTTCTTAAATTAAACATACATACATACAGTTTAATACACTGTTAATTACGTTTCCTTTTAGTCACACTTTTACTCTGAATTTCGTTCTTCTGTTCTGTATCTTCTTCATTGTCTTGTACAATTTGTAACTTTCCATACTTCGCTTCAAGTTTAGCAATTAATTCTGAGTCATCAAAATTCTCAATTTCACTTTCTTCCTGGTCCTCATCTTCTTCTTCTGATACTTTTTTTTGTTTCTTACTACCCTGTTCAATTTCTATTTCTTCTTCCTGTTCCGAATCATTCTCCTCTTTCCAACCCCACTTCTCACTATCACCTTCATCTTCATCATTCTCCACTTCCTCTTCCTCATCTAATTCATCCTCTTCTTCGTCTTCCTCTCCAAGTTCTAATTCTCTTTCTTCCTCTTCCTCCTCATCTTCTTCATGTTCTTGGTTATACACTCTTACTTCAGAAAGTCTTTCTTTTTCTGTAGTTACCATCTCTTCCTTTTTTTTTTGCTCAGATGAAACTACCTGAGATTCAGTTTGAACAAACGTAACTTCTAAACATCAAAAAAGTGTGTCATTAATCAATCATATGTCACATATGTATTTATTTTAAAGATCGTAAAAAATTAAACTATTTAATAAAATGTAATGTGAACGAATTAGGTGCTGTTCTAACATTTATTGAAGTACTAATATATATTTTATATCACTTATACAAATATTTAACAGTCACATCAAAACATGCTTTTATATTTTAATATGATACTAACTCAAATTGTATGAAGACATAGCAACATTGAATGTAATGCTAGAAACAATTTCATACTAAATATATATTGATAACTACTATAAGAAAACAGATAATTAGTAATAATTCAACTATTCAATTGAAAGAATGAATATGAAAGATGATTTGAACTGAGTCTACAATGGTTAAGGTACAATATTTGGAAAACATCCCAGTCAACCAAACCTGCAATGCCAAATTTTGTCCAATGCCTGTTATAAAATTACGGCTACAAGTTTGATGCAAGATTTGCTATAAACAATTTTCGCGCACATTAACAGCAACATGGGCAGCAAATTGACAGCAACATATGCAGCAAACTGGCTTGCGCAAACCTTGTTCAGGTTTTGCCCTCAATTTGACATTAGGTAATGTTGCAAGACTTTCTGCCAATTTGCTTTACCATTTTGTCAGGTGGCGTTGCCTGCAAAACCCAAGTCAAATGCGAAAGCAGATGGCTATGGTTTTTTAAACAACTTTTGTTATTTATTGCTGGCAATTTATTCGAAGCTTGTATACGACTGATTATCAGGGATGACTGTCACAAAATTTACCATTGTTCCACCGTTTCACAAGGACAAAATGTGCAGCAACAACAAGTGCCACACCAACTCCAAACTTCATCGTCACTGCAATCATCAAACATTATTCCTCATAGATGCTTAAATGACATAGGGAAACGTTTCGAAAAATTCAACATTTTGCAAACTTCTGACATTTATTTATGTGCATACACTTCTTGAAAAATATGAGAGCATGGAGGATCATTATAATAACCGTGTATTATACAACTATTTTATATATCAGTTTCATTAAATATTCACATTCGACTCACCACTAATGGATTCTTCTTCTTCTTCTTCTGGTTGTTTATCTACATCACTAACATATTCTTCAGGTTCTACACTTTCTACCTAGTACAAAAATTATTAAGGAACACATTACAATTTAAACAAATAATCACATATTGGTAACTTAGAGCCAGAAAACATATTATAATTTAATTTATTATATAAAAAGCAAACATATCTTATGAAGACAATATAATTTGTAAACAAAACAATTTTTACTAAATACCAATTCAGTGATTATTATAGTATTAATAAATAAAACAACCATGCTCTTCAAAATTCATGTAGTTATTTATAAAATATTAATAAAAAACAATTATTAATTTTACTAATTTTAAACATGTTTAATTAATTTCTAATGCCAAGTAGGCAAAATATAACTACATGTGGAGATAAAATAAACAAAGCATGTTTAATATTTACTAAGTATGCTTTTTAAAGCACTGTGTTGATAGTAAAACACAATATAGCAGTCTTACCTCTTCTAAAGGTTCTATATTATCATCATTAATATCATTAATACCAGGAATGTCTATAAATGTATCAAATACATCCTCATTTATGGATGTTTTTACAACTTCTTGAAATTGGTTTTCTATTCCATATAACATATTTCCTTTACTCTCTTCTTTACTAATACCATACATTTCTTCTAATACATCAGTGTCATAAAAATTTTGTGGACTGATATTTTCATCTTCCTCTATATCTTTTCTAAAGTTTTCATCCTCATCTTCTCTTTGATGATCTAATTCTGTGCTAATATATTCTGTTAGAATTAAAATTTATAATAATATCTTCAATTTGTACTTTGATTTATATTGCAATGTTTTACATCTTAGTACCTTCTTTATCCAGAAAATCTATATTTTGTTCTTCATCTGATTCATTTTCAGTTGTTATTTCCTCTTCTTGCTCTTTATATTTATTTACTTCTTCACTTTCTTGAACTTCTTCATTTTGGTTTTCTTCACTTTGTATTTCTTCATCTGGTTCTTCTTCCTCTTCCTTCTTTTCTTCTTCTTCTTTCTTGGAAATCTTTGTTTCTGGTAACTCTATATTTTCATTATGATTATCTTCCAGTTCATCTTTTTCAATTTCTTTACTTTCCTCGTGTTCTCTCTCATCATGCGAATCATCACCATATAAAGATAGTGAATCATCTACCCACCCGTCAAAAATGAAAGCCCAGCGTGATGATTCTAATGGTGTATCAACTTATAACATGAAATATTTCATATGAATATTTTGTACACACAATGGTTATATCTTCATTATAAATGTACATCAAATTCACTTACTATCTGAAGTACCTCTGTGCTCAAATATAATTACACCAATTAAGCCAACAAGAACAGCTAATAGAACAAAGAATATAATTCGTGCACACCAGTGACCACCTGTGATACTTTCTTTATAAACATGAATGGTAATGTTGTCTGTTAAATTTTCACTAGGATTTCCCAAGGTAGGTGCAGATGTAGCACTGTCATCCTCATCTGAGTATCATATAATAGATTCAGTAATATTTTCATAAATAATTATAAAAATATTTTAATTATATATTAAAGAAATTTTTTATAAACATACACACAAACATAAATTTTAATTTGTATACTTATATATAATGTGTATACATTATATATATTTATTTGAAACATGAATGTAAATTAGAATAGGAAACTAATATATAGGAAAGCATGTAATGCTATAGGGCGAACATTAATTAATAAATAAAAATAAAATAAATAGTATATATTTATTTATTTTTCTAAACAGTCATGAAAACATATTCTAAAATTTTCTTTAGTGTTATTTTCGTTCATATCTATAATTTATTGAATAATAATTACTGTTTACTACAATATTAAATATTGAATAAAATATTCTTAATTTGTTTGAAATGTATAGGTAAGTATATATTCAAATTCGTTTTTAAATTAAAAAATTTAACGTATCAAGACTATGAAGTTAGTCATTTTTAGAATAACACTATAATAAAATAATATGAATATAGATGTACTAATTACATATAAAATTCTTGTATAAGTTCTATTTTATAGATGAATTTATTTATTAATGATAGAAGAATATATGCATACATAAGTAATATATTTGCCTGTATATGTGGTATTTATATCTGTTGCTATAAATAAATATTTATCTGGGTACCCCTTTGTTGTTAAATATTTGTGAGATTTGCGAAATTCATATTTGTAATTTATTAAATGAAATTATAAAGCTGGGCACATCTTTTTTTATATACAAGCATAATTATTATATCTAAACGCATATAAAGTATATCAAATGTATTAGAGGTATATGTTTTTGGAATGGATATTATTGGTCTATTTTTGAAAGCCAAAAGCTAGGCTGATCAAGCGTCTAAGACCCTGTATTTTCTAATTTGAGCAACATTGCCAAATATGCCTTAAAATACCTAAAATTTCACACTTCAAATAACACTTCTACAACGTTTTCATATAAAAAATATTAAACAAAATTGTATATTGTAGTTCTAATAAATATTATTATATAGAATTTTCAAAGAAATAGTTTTCTAACTAAATCATAAATTTGAAAAAATATGTAAAATAATATTATGTCTATATTTCGAAAGAAAAATAAAGGAGACAATTTTAAAAGAAAACACTATTTTTTAATAGTACTGTTCACATTAGTAAGTTAGTCGCATAATAACACAGAAATTAATAGAAGTGTTCCTTTTATGTTACAAAAATTCGGTAAATAACTGATTTATTGTAATAACGTGACAGTAATAATACGAATAATAAAAATATTGAATCTTTGCAAATAATATATCTGACTGTTAATAAAATTTACAAAATTGCTTTATTTATGTATAAATCTTATTATTAATTATACAATATTTTACAGTTAAAATTAATAGAATTTATGACTGCAATCAGCAAATTAAATCTTTCCTGTGTAATATTGTAATTAGGAATAGCATAGCGACGAATGTAAATCAATTTAAAAGATCAGGAAAAGTCAATATTTATTTAACTTTAATATAAAATATGTAACATGTATCTCTGAGGCTAAAAATAAAAAAGTAAACATTGCTAAAAATATTACGATTGCAAGAATCGAAGTACAGTAATTCTCACACACGTTTAGTAGTCTGTTTTTACCCTTTTTACGTCTCTTCTCTTTCCGTTTTCTTGTTTGTACATCACCAGACATCTTCTGCGAGGAAATGTACGTGTACCTTTTACAAATAAACTAACACAATAGATTTAAATTTTTTAAACGATCGAACACTGTGCCGCGTCTGCGATATTTTGATTTGTAATGATCTTAACAAGTGTTGACACAATATGAAAATCCCTAGTGACTTAAATTGAACATTCCTTTCCTCGATGTCAGTGCTTTCCAAATTTGTATTACTTTTGAAAAATTAGAATGTTTGATATAACATCTGAAGTATTCAAATCAAAGAAGATATTTATGAAGAATTAAATAGAATCTTATGAATAAATTACTTCACATTGCCAGGTATATTGTCCTGAATGCAGTTCAGGAATTACTAGATAGAAATATAGTAAATAGTAGCAATTACTCTATTGGTAATTACACTAGTGTAACATTTTAAATAAAGTATACATTATTTAGAACCTATATTTTTAAAACAAAGATTATGAACTAATAAAAATTTGTACATACCACAAGAGAAAGTATTTTCTCAACGAAATGCTCCATAATAATCATTTTATTAACATTCCGAATTACAAAATATAAACTTCAATTCAATGTATTTACTAAAACACATTTACTGCAGAAAGCATATGTACATAAACATACTACATTTATTATAAGACACAGCTCATTTTTAATTTTAATAAATAATTTACAAAGTATAATTGCTTATAAATTTGTAGTTCATCAGCATATTTCAAAGCACAGTTATACTAAAAAAGTTTGCCATAAGAAAGCAAAAACTAACTTAATGAACACAATAAAGATGAGTACAAAAGTATAGTTAAAGTAATCAATTATTAGAATAACTTCAATACAATAATATTTGTGAACTGAAGCAGTATGTATAACTTATAGTGAATTATGTATGAAAAAATTATATTATTTATAATAAAATGTATTAACCTGATTTTTGAAATTTTAATAATTCTGTTTTAACACAACTGGTAAGGGAATTTTCATTTTACAAAAACTATTTGCTATGTTACTTCAGAAGGATTTGTGTATAAAGTTTCATTATTAGACATTATCGGTAGTATTCTTGTAAATTAATCTTACTATAATCAGATTTAACTACAGAAGAACTGAAAAATACAAGTTCTGATTTTTATACCAAATTTTTTTTATATGTGCAAGAATTGTTTTATTTAACCATTTATATGAATAATTCTTGTGCAGTTGTGTCTCGATACTATTGTAAATTTTTTACAATTGTTAACTTATAATATTCAAATACTTTTTTTACTTGAATACATTACAATCGTGTTGAAAAATAAGAGTATAAAGTCCATTCTTCAAATTCTCTAGCACCTCTGATATCCTACATTGTATATTAACAGAGTTAATATCTTACTTATTGAATCAAAGTCCATAATTGTTACAAAAAGACATTGTATGGATACATGTTAAACTCTAAAATTATGTATCATTTACAGAACTTTATATATTTTATCGCAGTTTGCTGTTTAAATAATTTAATAATCTTACAAATTTTCAAATCAATGTATAAGTTTCTTAATATTGTTTCCTGTTTTGAACATAAAGAGCTAATAAAAAATTTAATTGTAGGTCAGCCCTGAGCGATGTGGAAGTAAATAATTGCATACACAGTACACATATAATATGTAAATTATGTACTATTTATAATACATTATACACTACAAAATTTATGCACTAATTTTGAAGGGATATTTTAGTATGGCTTGCTATCATTAGAAGTACAATGTTGCTTTCAAAATACCTAATTATTCATTATTTTGCATAAATTATGGGAATATTAATTTTGTATTTAAAATAAATATTATAAAATCTATTTATGAGTTAAACATTACTTACTACTATTTTTAAAATTCTGGAAGTATAATAAATACTATTAACTCTTTTAAATTAGTTTCATTGCCTAAAAATATTTTTCAATACTTTGTGTAAACTCAAATTAGTATTTTATTTTCCCAAAGTCAATTTAAAAATAATCTCTATGTATTAGAGGTAAAAGAGTGTTGACGCAAAAATAATATTAAAATTTAATTTTACAAAATCGTTTTATTAAATAATGAGCAAATACTATTGAGATTATGTTCTTTAAGAGGAAGATTGTCACTGTTCATTTGTATAATCCCTATTGACTATAACTTTAAATGTAGTTTATGAAAGACAAAGTTTTCACTAAATGCCAATTATGTTTTTGCCTGCCTATTGGAGTAAATTATACAAGATGATCAGAATTATGTGTATCAATGAACATTTCTTGCAATAAATGAATTATTAATCCTTTATACTTAATAAACAGAATAAACTTTAAATACAATTATGTACATGCAGCAGTCTTTTTTATGTTAATAAGATCAATTCAGTGATACAATTTTTTCAGTAAATCATAGATATTATATTATTGTTAGTGTTTATATTTTCTAACTTTGTTGTTAATTGTTTTAAATGTTAAAAACGATTTATAATTCTGCAACATAATAAAAATTTATAGATATGTATTTCTATATACAAATTTGTCACACAAAATGTTATAAGGCATCAACATAAACGCATCCTAAAAGAAATGTAGGGCACTTGTTCCAATTTTGAGTGAAAATATTTTCACGAAGATAAATGCAGTAAAAGATTATACTTTCGTTTCAAATCACGTAACGCTTAAAAACATATGAAAAAGCAAAAAACAGGGAAATGTAGAAACAGCTCATGTCTTATAGAATTTAACACATTGTACTTAATTACTGGAAAACTTAAAAAATTACTATATTTAAATATATTTAACTTTTTATACACATTTGTTCTGTTAAAATTATGTTAAGATACAAAAACAAATTTGAAAATCGCAATTATAATAATTTTTTATAATGCCACTATGTATACATTAAAATTTGAATTATTTTATTTGCACAAATGATAAACTATATTTGTGGTGTTTGATTTGACACTGTAAAAATTATCATGACCAATGTTACACTTTCTAAGATTCAAGTACTATCGGTAATAGACATGTTTTTTGGTTATTTACAAAAAACCTAGAAATAAGTAACATATCAATAGCACTAATTACTAACAGCATATCATCAAGTACAAAATGCTATAATTTGACGAAATTATAAAGTAGGAATTCAATTAATATATTGTACATTAAAAATTTAAGTGCCATTATGCATATTGTTCATAATTTAAGTTATGAATTAATTATAATAATAATTATAATTTTCTCATTAATGAGATTACAGACTCGGTTTATTAATAATTTACTTCATTACTACATTTATTTATGCACATGTATCGTGAAGATCTCAAAATAATATATAAATAAATAAATAAAAAATATGTTTATTGTCACAAAATATTATATGATGTGCAGAATGATAATATAATTCAAGAAGTATACTTGTCTACTTCTAGAAGTATTGCTTGCAACATGTTTTTAATAAATTGTGTGCAATAATATCAAATTTATATAACCCACAAATAGCAATCTGACAAAGACATGTGCATATAAATAGAAAATATGACTCCTTATAAAAGGAGAGTCAACAATACACTAACAAAAACAATTAAACAGCATGTTTAATTTTATTGTAATTGAAAAATTAATAAGCGTTTTAATTGCAGAAAAACTGTTAGACAAAAATTGTTGTTTTAAAGAGTAAAATGCGATAATGAACGTAAACCTTTTGTGACACTGATTTTCAGCAGAACAACAGTATATTTTGTGGGCTTTGATTACTTTGACCCAATTCAAGAGACATTGTATATTATTGGGACCGGAAATTCCTGTTCATTAATTATCCATATTTCAACAACGAAGTTTAATCACCAATTTAACTTTAAATAAGAATAAATTGAACATTTTATGTGTTTTGCATGTTTATTATTTATATGCCCTTAAGAATAATTCAATTGTTTGATTAAAATGAATGAAAAGCTATGCTAATAAAATAGTAATTATTATACAACATCATTGTACAATTACAATGTATCATGTAATCACTGTGGCAATATACAATATCGTTTTGGAATGTATTATGAAATTGAAATAACAAAAGCATAGTTCCACTTAAAATATCTAATGATATAGTAAAAAGTATAAATCCATTCCATATTTTACTCTCTAAACGTAACACTTTTTATACCAGCAGTTATTTACATTTTCAATAATTTGAGGCACTGAGTGTATATCCTTATACTAGGTATATACTGCACACAAGTGTAAAAATATAGTTGTATGTAATTTGAATGAATTTAAATCTACATTCTTGTTAGATTACAAGTAATGTAAACATATGAATAAAATTTGTTATAAGAATTCATAGTAACGTATTATTCTTATTTTCAGATTGTAAATGAATGATTAATTTCCATGCTCATTTAAAGAAATACAAGATATACCATTTAGGTTATCTCTTAATCTTGTCACTGTACATTCATTCAATATCTCACTATGATCATTATTTACCGGACATATTATTTTCATCATGTGGTCAATACAGTGGAACTATCCAACCTTCTATTGGTTTCTAAACTTGCAGCTTTTTCAAATTTATCTATTCTTAACGTATTATGTAAACTATGATCAAATGTTTTGAGATCGTTTTGGATACTTTTTATGGTATCAGTATTATTTTCATACCGCCGTAATAAATTGTTTTCGTTTTCATACCTACGATGTATGGAATCAGAATCTAAACATTTTCTAAATGTTTCATCATATCGTCGATCCCCTATTCGTCTAGAAAATCCACTGTCATAACAATGATCTGTTTCTATGTAATGTTGATTTAAAGTGTCCACTTCATAAGCATACTTTGTTAGCTGACTCTCAAACCCAGCTCTGGCAGCTAAATGGAGGTAATTGTCATCACCAATGGGAGCTTGTCTAAAATAATAATTACAATTTAAGATAAATAAACCAATAACGCATTCTTAAACTGTTGCATTTTGTTTAATGCGGCAAATGCATTGAATAGTTTTCACTGTTATCAATGTAAACTTTCACATAAACTCGTGTTTGCCTGCTAAAAAAATATGTAACAATAAACAGAATAGGTCTTGTTAAACTGTGTAAGAGTTTTGTACTATGTTAATTTTATCTAATAGTCATGGAGTTTGTTCCGTCTTCGACCAGGAACGATAGCTATAGGCCTCAAAGATTCCGTTAGCTTTACAATAATGCTTGCAATAAACCTGGGACTCGTACGCACCGGGTCTTACCGCTGCGCACTAGCGCGCAGAACAAAACAGTCATAAACCCTACCGTTGGGAGACTCGAAATTTCGGCGCGGTCAAGTCACACCGTGACCACGTGCGCGACATTTTTGCTTGCAGTGGCTTGCACCCGCTTCGCCCTGAAGGGGAGGTTTCCACCACCACGTCACTCAGGAAAAACCTGAGAATATGCCTTCTCCTCCAGGGTACCACCAATCAGAAAGCGAGATTTAGTCAATGCGTTTGGCGAAATTTCCTTAAATACAGAAGAAGCGCGATGCGGCGTCGCTACGACTTTAAACATCAAGCAGTCACATTCGTTAATCATTTAAAACTCTCGATCACGTCACATTCTCTGCGAGAAACGAATATTACATCATTGTAATTTAAGTGTTAGTAAAAGGCTGTTACTCAAACTGATCTATTCCGATCATTCCTGCTACCCTAACTAGACTTCACGAGAACCTTTGTGAAGTCAACGTCTTGTTTTTACACCGTCGCAAACCAGCGAAGCGGATTTACAACCCGTAAAATTTTCGAAGAATTTTGGTGTTTTGGGACGTAACAGAGTTTACTAGTAAAATTGTCACTAAACTTTTTAGATTAATATGATCATAAAACATAAAATTAGAATGAACAAATTTAGTATATTTCTAACTTACTAGCTTCCAGAGAACTTTAGATATTGGTTGGGAGACGGAGGTAGAAAATGTAGGTTATGTGAGTACAGTTTGGGTATGTACTTACATACACTAAACGCCAAATAAGAGCATAACTGTTTCGCGCATTTCGAATGAGCAGGAGAGGTCTCTCGAGCCCCTGGTTCCCCCACTTTCTCGCTTTCTGTAACAGGGACGATAGAATTTGTCATACACCGGGTGACATAATGAAGTATTTCTCAAGACATGAATACTTATGAATTGGCACGTTTGTACTTCACAGTCACTCGGTGTATGATGCTACACGAGGCATAATGATGCTCAATTGTTTAAGAGGTTGGTAACTAAGGTAACCGAGAGGAATATGCGCAAACAAGACCGAAATTTGTCATTTCGCAGTTATGGTCTTATTTGGTTTTTAGTGTACATTAAAACACCTACATACCTGTACCTATATAATAGAACTATGCAATGGTATAGAAGGAAGGAATGTACGATTGAGCAAATGCTAGAGGGTAGACAAAATAGTACAGTCACAGTATAAGTATAACTTATACTTATACTTATACTGTGTGTAACTATAGTTATATTTATACTGTAGTATAACTTATAGTTATACTGTGGGACAGTGGTCAATTGGTTAGGTGAGGTAGAAAGAAGGATAAAAATATTAGAGGGAACAGGGGAGGAAAAAATGAGAAAGAAATACGTGTGAGGTAAGGATATGGAAAAATGAAGTGTGATTGTTCTTTTTCATTAAACTAAATCTATTTCTGGGCCACAGAGGCTAAATTTAATAAATATACAGACATACTTACTTGCTTCCATATTTGGTATCACGAGCCAAACTTCTAAAATAGGCTCTATGTTCATGCTGTAAAGCATATGCTGCTTCTCTTAATGCAGTTAAAGTTTTAAAACAGGAGGGCACGTCATCAATAGGAGATCCACCACCTGGTATAACACACATGTCACTAGCCCCATAAACAGCTTGACATTCACACGCACTCATTAATGTTTCAAGCCTTGGCATGTTTGTAAATATAAGTGAATGTATTCGTTGCAAATCTCGGTCTGGATCTAGGACCATGCGTAATCCAGCTTCTACACCAGGTGATACTTCACTACAGCCTGGTGCAATTTCAGCCACTGCTTTGCAACTATAATCGATATTTATTAACAATTGAAATATACTTTGTATTTAAATAATATAAGGTAACATACCAAAGCCAATGGCCATTAATATATGCACTTGGGTGGTATTTTTCTAAACGATTATTGTTTGTACGACAAATCTTTGTTAGAATATCAATCCATTCTTTTTCTTCTACACAGTTGCCAGCTTGAACGTATAATGCTCTTTGAGACTGAATGATTTGAAACATATTTTTCATTTTAAAAGAGTTTTCTTGAAGTCTTTCAACAGCTAAAATTTCTTCAAGTGGTATTTTACATAAAGGTTCTTTACCTAAAAAATATTTTACAAAATCTGATCTGCATTAACTTTTTAAAATCATGAATTATTTTCAGTGTATTCACATTTACCTTTTGTTTTGGAATAAGTAAGATCTTGCGTAGTAAGTCTAAAGTATCTTTGTTTAAAATTTTTACGTCCAAATCGTTTCCTTCCTTGTGCTCTTTTAATCATTACTCTGTAAGTAAATAAAAAAAAAATTAAATGTATATCCTTACAAGAAATATATACTTTAATTTTGCAATCATTAAATATCACTACAAACCTCTTATCGCAATCAGCAGTATGCATGAAGAGAAAATATATTCTATTAGGAATGCATTCTATTAGTATTACTTATATGCACATATAATGTTATAAAATTTATTATTTAAAATTCATTTCACTGAAAGTAGTACTTAACTCACAAGATGCGTTATTTAAACATTGTAACATATTATCGCAGATATTGCCAAATATTTAAAAATGTGTTAGTTTTATGAGAATATAAAGCGTGAAGATTAATATAAGGAAATACGGAAGCGTTAAATTAAAAACTTTTTTGACATAATCAATAGACATACCCCTCTTTCAATACAACTGGGTGTTCTTGTTGAGTACTTGGTCGTTGCTTTGCATTTCCAGCATTACTACTAGTCGATATCAATTCCAGGAATTGCTTAACAGCTTGTATGTGTTTCTCCGTATAAAATTCTCTAGAAAAATAATGTATGAATAATACACGAAATCTCTTTATTTATAAATGAAATTTGGAAATAATTTTATCTCTGTGTACCTATACACACATTCCATGTATTCTTCTTTACACACACTACCTGCACCACCTCTACAACTTACTAGGTTTCCTAGACTCTGAATTGTTTTAGAAATTAATGTTAATGTCCTATTAGTCTGAGAATCCTGGAATACAAATACATAATAGTAATTCTATTAGTATTATTATTATTCTTAAACAATATATTATCATATTTTTAATAGCGGAAATTGTCTTACAATTTGCTCAGTTGTAATATCAAATAGTCTTGGACCCAATATTGCAGGAGCAAAAAATCGTAGAAAAATAAATCCGCTAATGACTGAATATCTTACTTCCTTATTTTTTGGAAAATGTGTTGTTGCAAGTGCTCTTAAGCACCAAAACATTTCACACATTAAAGGGGGACACCGTACACCCGATGTTGTAATAGCAGTAAAAACTCGTTCAACGTATTCCTGTCAAGCGATACATAATTTACAAATTAATATAAGTATACATACAAAAAAAATATTACTTCAAATCTTCAAATACCTTGAGATTTGCTAAATTAGTCTGAATAGTATTTGCATCCTTTACCCTTGTAGGATCTATTTCACATGGTTTTTTTTCTAGGATGACTTGTTCCATGGCTGGTCTAAGTGTACTATGCAGATAATGAAGGCCTGCCAATCGCATACCTTCATCCATCATTTTACTTACTAATGTGTTACCACGAAATATTGTTGTTGGATCACTATAAAAAAACCTACTTTGTAACATACAATATTATGATTGACTATAAGTCTCTATAATTAGATTGCAATAAATGCTAGGCGATTAATGTAAATGTAGGTGTCTTATAAATGAAAGCATAATTCATTTACTTACGTTAATTTAGAAATTTCATGACTAGCTAAAGCTCGCATTACGGAAACCAATTGTCCATGATGTACTAATACTCTAACCAAAGATTGTGCAGCTTCCATTTTACTTGCCACAATTTCTCCCAAAATGTACACAGCAGATGATGTTATTGGTTGAATATTAACACTTTGTAACAACAAATATCTAAGTCTATCATACATTGCTGATGGAAATACGTGATCTGCTGTATAATGTATTTTTAATCTTAGAGATCCTAAACCTGGTAATGCACCAGAAGTGCTAGAAATTTTACTTGGGCGATGTTTCGCTGCTCTTGGTTGCAGGAAGTACCTATTAACAAAAAAAATGTAGTAAGAGTTGTAATACTGAAGAGAAATTATTATTATGAGAAATAATCATTTAACAATGGTTTATAAATCTGGAGTGATGTAACACATAAACATTTCTTACATTTGATAATAGTAAGTGATCAAATGCGTTACTTTAGGAATAAATGTGTAGTAAGTACCATGCTGTTGTTGTACTAGTTGGTTGCTTTTGTAGGCCTCTCAAAGTAACTCTAACTTCACCAAGAAAAGCTGGTTGTTCTCCCATACCAGGAGATGCATGCCATAAACCTACAACTACTTCACCTACTTCTCCACTTTCCATAGCATAATGAGAAACATCCTTCTCTTTGGATTCTGTTACTTCTGGCTGTAGATAAAATTTTAAAAATAATTATACAAACAAAAACACTAGAGTTAAATTGTAATATATTATGCAAATTTTATATAAATGATATTAATAATATAAAGTAATTCATTCGAATTTACCTCAAAGACAAATGTTTCATTAAAATATGGGGACACTGTTTTCTTTTTAATTTTTGTGCGTTTCATTATTTGTTTACCATTACTATAGATGACCATAATAGTTGCATATGGATCACATCCTCCATTTTTAACAGTTAATTCGCTACATTCTATCACTCTAAAAAAATAATAATTATGAAAATATTAAATCTTATATGACTATATATAGCATACTTGCAACTAAAACATAATTAGAAAAACATAGAGTCTCTAGGAATATGAAAAAAAACTATTACTAGCTTAAATTATGTCTTTTTAGTTGCCAAAGTTTAGTATGTATAATGCCACAAATATTTACTTTGATGTTGACTTTTAATAATATTTGTTTATTATTATACCTCACTGTAAGTTTAGTAGATTCAGCATGTCCAATTTGAGGTTGGAGAGCGAGTTCTAAATGTGCTTTGCCTTGAACTTCAGAATCAGCATCAACTGGCCTTAAAGGAAACCAATGTTCCTTATTGTGATATGTTGCTAAATCTTCTCTTTTTATTGCTACTTTGCCCAAAATTTTATCCTGCTTTAAATGTCTGTCTCGATCATAAACATAAATGCCAAGATAACGAAATTTCCTAGGTATTTCAAATTGGAATTCTTCTCCGAAAAAGGGGCTACATTAAATATTTTTTATAAATACTTTCTCCAAAAAATCAAACATAGTATTACATTTTATAATGAAAAATAGTACTAGACATTACTTGAGAGTTCTTTCCATTGTTGTTGTTCTAAATATTTCCTCTTGGTCAAGGGATAATGCACAATATACATCTCTTGCACCTGGAGATCCATGACTTCTACTTTGTAGATTTTTAACTTCACCTAAATGTAAATACATATTCCTTATACTTTTGAGTATAAAAAGGCTATGTGTTACATACTTCACCATAAATATAAAATATTTTTGATTTAGAAAAAGAATAAAGCTTCGTGTTTTCATATGAAGTAAAGATATTAAATTTTATTATTTTTTGTTAGTAGTAGGATGTCTAGGAAGAAAGATATAAGTTTAATCTTTAATGTTAATAGTTAACTGAAATATTTCTGTGTCAACAGTAATAATAATAATGTTCAGTTAAAATTGTAAATAGTATCAAAATTACTTTTCTTCAATGTTAACGCAATGCACATAAAACACAATAAATTAAAAAAAGTCATGCTTAACGAAATGAATTAAGTGCAATTTAGCTTGTAATTTATTAAACAAACGGTACTTTCCCTATAAATAATTTTTTTCGGAAAATTTAAATCGTTCTCGAAATAATACTATATTGCTGATGTCTTCATCTTTATAATCACATTAACAAAACCATATTTCACATTAACAAAACCATCATTACAAGTAAATGATAATGGGTTAGTTAAAATGAAAATAGTAAGTGAACGTGAAATTTATAACTATTGTCCGCAATAGATAAACTTCACACTTTTTACATTTAACTACTATTAATATTGTATTATTACATTATCCAGTGTTGTTAATATTATTTGGTGATAACTATTGAAAAGTACATATTTTGTGTAGGGACAACGATGCGTGGGAGTTGAAAATGTACGCGTACGCATACATAATCATTAAAATTTGGAAAAAATATCACCACACTGTGACCGTACAATCGATTCGTTGGTTGAACAGAAGGAACCGTAAACTGAATCGTGAACTGATGCAAGAAAAGGGCCAACGATGCTTTCCGTTTAGGTAGTAAAGTTGAATAATTCCATAGGAGTCAAATTAGGTGACATCCCGAGCGAACAGTAGCACGTTAACATGAATATATCAAGCTTTTTGAAACAACGAAATTCTTGTTTTTTTGGCACAGCATACATCCCAATCAACATTCACATTACTGCTAAACGATATTTCTGACGAGTCTGCCTACCGATTTTAATCTTTAATCTTTCTTCAACGCGAACTAGGCGCGTCTCCTCGGCCATGTTAACTCCATGACACTACTGTGTGACTACATGAACAGAATGCAGGCGGTTCGTTCATTCTGTGAATGGATTCTAATCAGAGCCGTACTCTGGCAACCGAGCACCCGTTCTATGTTCATTTTACGAATTGACTGCGAATGTTATAGATTTATAACATACCTTAATATGCAAAACAGAATAAATTACATGCTTTTATAATGTTTAATACATTTTTTATTTATTATTTAATGTAAAGAAACTATAAATAGAAAAATAAGTTTAGAGGAATTGTTTTCCATAAATCGATTTTCAAAAATGTAAATTTCTATAAATATTAATTATACAATTAATTATGAAAAGAAATTTCAAACAAAATTTGAATTCATTAAATAACGTATTATTTTTTATCGTCTTATATAAGATCAAAAACGAAATTTATGTATGAGAATAATACCTATTATATCATATAAAGTAACTATATTTTCTTTTATAGTAGTAAAGGTATATTTATGTAAATATTAGATAAAAATTTAATAACCATGGAATGTGTACTGTATACGACACAAACTCTGTACATAATAAAATATTGTGTGATGAGTACTTAATAAGAAAAAATTCGCTTCCAAAACATATAGTTCTGTAAAATACTGATTTAAATTGTAGACGTTCAATATTTTCCAAGAATTAAAAAGAAAATATTTAAAAATATTTAACGAATATAACTAATTACAAAATGTATAGCTTGTACCTACACATTAATTATAATATAGTGTTTTGAAACAAGTCATGCATAAAAAATTATGTTAGTACATAATAAGCAACAATAATTTCTTAATTATAAAAAAATATTTTGATGTAAAACTATATAATTGTACGCTTGACCAATCTAAATTATAATGAAATGTTGTACTAATAGGTAGAATAATTTATTCTCCGCAGAATTAATCTATTAAATTGGTAACGATATAGTATTTGTAAATATACTTATAACACATTGCACATTCTAATAAAATTGACAATAAACATACATCAATGCCAAACGAATGCAATATAGAGTCTATGAAAATTGTGTGCTATTAACTATGCAAGAAAAATAACTAAAGGAACCCAAATTAGAGTCTAGCTCATTGGCAGACTGCGGACATCCACGTGAATTCAAATTTTCATAGACTGTTCTACGAACAAGAGAATTAAAACGAAATGTATCTTCTCTATTGAGGATTTTATTGAGTTACAAATTAAATAAAAAGCTCTCATTTTATGTTCCGGATATTCGCATGTATGCTATAAATGCATGTTTCACAGCATCCTATGTACATCATCACTGTTTTATAGTCGCCCTAAGAATAGAAAAAGAATAATGATGTTGGGTCGGCGAAGGTTGTTACATTAAATTGTACGAATGCTAGGTGGCATAGCGACATTCGGGTACGGGATTGATATGTACCCAGTGTCCGGTATGTAAAGGCATTCTCCCGACTGGTCACTATTTACACACATATAGGGTAAAACCATTGAATGATCGAATATTCGCGTGTTCCCACTTATCGTGTCACTCTTTTGGCCGGTGCCTATATTCTGTTCTTATCTCAATGTGTTAAGTCTGCTGGCTGTTGTGGAATGAGAACAAACCTCTATGTTGGACCATGTTAGTTAACAACACTCGTGTAATTGGTGAGCTACTTCCTCATGGCGGAATGGCCTGCTTCCTCTACTCTGCGTTTCTCTTTGCTCCTCACTCTTTGTAGAGCTCTACAGACAACATCGCCTTCCCCTCCTCACCCTTTCTTCCTCTACCAACGTTCCCTTTTGCAGTCCCTTCCCTTCTCCGCCTTCCTTTTGATTTTTCACGCTGCTACTGTTATAAAATGTTAATGAAAAAAAAGAAGAAGAAGAAACAGGAAAAGTTCACTCGTCATTGGATTTCACGGATTTTAGGTGTTCATCAAATTTTCGAGAATTCATGAAACGCAACGAAATAAAGCACTTAATAGAATTTTTTCCTATTTTTGTCGTATTGGAGGTAAGGGGTTAATAGAAAGGGGGACAAAATGGAAATGGAATTCCGTAGTCATCAGACTGCAAATTTTATGGTTCTTATTTTAAATTTTCGAGCGTACAAAATGCACCGAAATAAAAACTTTATTACCTGCCATTTACTTTTGCCTTCATATAGGAAATGAGTCAATTTAAACACCGCAAGTACAAGATCGTTCATCGGTAAACCGTAGTTTTTTCGTATACATATGTGACATTTGTGAATGTATAGAATACAGTAAAATAGAAACTTCAACGCAGTTTATATTTTGTTTTTGACTTGGGAGAGGGAATAAATATGTGGTTAATTCAATTGTCTGTAGATTGGTTGTTAAAAGTGGGAACCTGCATAGACGCTATACTTTACTTATCTACTATAAATTAATAAGTAATGTGGATCGCACCTTACAGAATAGCAATAGCTAATCTTCAGCTTCCAGCATAGTCTTCCTGTAACGAAATTATCTATAAACTGTAAAGGAAGTAGGCACGCAACAACATCGATTAAAAATTGGATTAAAAAATAATTTCGCATACCTGATTATTTTATATAAACGGTATAGACTGAATCTCTGTGATTGGGATTATATATTAATGCCGTGGATTTCTTTTATTACATAATAATAATTGTAGATGTAGTTGTAAAAAGAATACTCTTTAAAAGAGTGTATGCACGTTCCGCGATATCATACTTATCCCTCAGTTTTCTTGGTTAATAATTGCCTGTATTTAGTTGTGAAAAAGAAAAGAAAGCTGATAATTCATGATAATACAATACACAATTCATCCTTATGTTCCCATTGTGGGGTAACTTATACCCAAAATGATTCTCTAGCGTGGTCTCACCCATGAAATTACCATATAATAAGTTAGAGTTTCGTGAAACTTTCACGCAATTTCACACACAAACGCGCGTGCGCATACATGTACACATTTCCCAGCCAGCGTAAATGGTGTAGCTGCAGTAAGAACAATAGCGATAATAAATCATTGCACAAAAAAATGAAAGTAACAATTTGAACGGAAACATAACACTCGAGAAATTTTCCGGAACTGTTATACATATAAAACCCTATAAAATTATGAGGGGCACTACTTTAAATATTCATCAGTCCCTTGGTAATGTATGTCGTCTAGAACAATTGGATCTTCAAAATAATTGAAGTTTGAACAAATACAGGGCAATAAATAAGGCCCATCACGAAGCTCTTGCGTACAGTGTTTTACCTACCGTTCCGTCTATACAGATCCCTGTTCGCTGGATGTATGCGAGCTGTTCGCGAACTTTTCACAAGCTGCATGCTAGCTATTCGAGATCAACTGTTTCCATCTGTCCTGTTAATGTTTGCGAACAGATCGTCACGAGTTCGCGCCTGGAGCGGTAAAATCAGAGGAAAAATCATGTATATTGTATATGTCCAAATCAGCGGTGGACAAATTTGGCTCCCGGGAGCTAAAACTTGTCCCCACCCCCGTCCACCGTTACCATGGAGTGACAGAGACAAGAGGCTGGGCTCCTTTGTTTTTATGAAGGCACACAGTGCGAAAGAAAGGTTGGAAGGGGAAAGAGGTGCATGAGATGCCCATACGCTGCCTAGCGCTGGTCCAAATGGTGCACAAATAGTGCCCCGAAGCTTCGAGGTGGAAGACAAGGACAGAAATAAGAAGTGGAAATACCAAGTTCCGCATATGTCATTAGATTTTCACGAAAATGACGCCATTCGATTCCTTATGTTTTTCCAGTAACAATGCCACCAAAAATGACACAATTCGGATTATAATTAACGAAATTAAATGAATAAATAATTTGCATAATTTAAAGCTAACTTCGTTAAAAATAGTCTGATTTACGTGATATTTAGTTTAATTTTAATCGGGTGAACGTCAAGAAACCATAAGTGTTACTTCCATATCGATATGGGGTTATCCCACGCGAAGTTGGATACTTTTTGGAGTAACATTTCGGATTTTGTTCAAACTTGGACATGTTGCATCCAGTCTTTAAATGATATATACATATATACACGTATCTCGGAGGAATTCTCAAAATTTTTGAAATTGTTAATTTTACAGCTGTTTGAAACTTAGTGACAATCTTTCTTCAATAATTCTTAATTGTTGAACTAACACTCTGATCAAAGTGGGGTTTGTGAAATTATTAACACGTTGGCTGTCAGCTACGAAATAACTCCTAGTTGAAACATTGCAAACACGCTGGATTATTTAAATACCTCTACAAAATTTTGACATGAGATTAATATCACAGTATAATTTAAAACAAGACAAGCAATCTCTATTAATCAAACGCATATATTTTCAAAGATTTATGACTTAAAAAACGAAATAAAGTGTGTCTGGCTACGTACGGCCTTTTTCACTGTGGCAGTGAACGTGTTAATTTTGAAAAATTGTTTCAGTTGAAAAAAAAAATTTTGTTAACCAATAATTTTGCTATTATTTTAAAGAATCATTTCAAAATAGCCTTATGAAAAGTAATTGACGTTAACACTGCTTGTACCGCATGGCTGTCTGTCGAGCCAGTGTGCTTCGACGCAATGTTAACTTCAATTAATTTTCACACAGTTAATGTTGAAGTGTCCATGTTTCTTAAAATTGGTCGATAAGAAACACCACTAAGGACTATATCCTAATTTTTCCAAATTTTTCAACACTTTCACTTTTGTAAAATTGAATTTCTTTAAAGCAATTACAAAATAAATGGTGAAAAAATTGTTTTTCAACTGAAATAATTTTTCGAAATTAATAATTTCACAAAGGTCACTTCGATTAGTTTGTTAGTTCAACAGTTATCGTTAATTGAAAATAGGTTGACACTATACAGGGTGTCCCAAAAATGTCCTCCGACCCGGAAATGTGGCACTCGGGGGGTGAATTGGAACAACTTTTTCCTTAGCCAAAATTTAAACTGAGGCTTCGTTTACGAGATATTAACGAAAAACCGCGACCAATCAGAGCGCGAGTTTGCC